GTTTAGATTTATTTCGTCAAATTTGGTTTTGTTTATTTCAGTATATATTAGTTTAGTTTAGTTTAGTTCAGTTCAGTTTAGTTTAGTTTAGTTTAGTTTAGTTTAGTTTAGTTTAGTTTAGTTCAGTTCACTTCAGTTCAGGTTAGTTCAGGTCATCTCAGTTCAGTTCAGTGCAGTGCACTGCAGTGCAGTTCAGTTCAGTTCAGCTTAGTTTATTTAAGTTCACTTTCAGTTCAGCTGATCAGCCCGTCGGACAAGCTGTCTTGCCCTCTGTGTCATGAATGTACCCTCAGCCAGCCTACAACGATCAGCGTTTTTGGGTGATCAATTTGTTCCGGAAGTGACCAGGGACCGTCAGGACGAAAGATCCGTGTTTTCAACACTCCCAGGGAGTGCAGTGAAGCCACACTTGGCCATCAAGTCCTGCTTAAGTTAATGTTGTTGTTAGTCAAATCGCACCATTTCGAGGAAAATACATTTGTTCCGTGATTTCGCATAGTTTTCCCATCTGCAACGTAGCTGAAGAGTTTCGCGTGTTATCTGCTATCAGTGAAAGAGTTTTTATCAAAGCGATTCTAAATGTCCGGAAGGCAGATAGGCTAGTACTCGACAACATCTCTCACAAGTCACATTACGTGTTATCTGCTATCAGTGAAAGAGTTTTATCAAAGCGATTCGAAATGTCCGGAATGCAGACAACATCTCTCACAAGTCACATTTTCCAATCATGGGCGCAGTATCCGCTCGACCTTCAACGTGTCTTGCTGAAAATATACCCTACACTGTAGCATAGTCGTCACTTTTTCTCTGCAATGCTAAATTCTTTTGGTATGCGGTAATGTGTACCTTGCATAAACACATTTCCTTATTCCTTTGATAGCATTCTTAGGCACCGGTCCAAACCCGTGTTGGACATGTACGATCCTAGGTCCGTGATACGCGTGGTGAATATATCGTTTGCACGCCTGGACTGATTTTCAAGCTGAAATTCCGTTATCTCTCTGCCTTCAGGTCCCAGAGTTAGCTCGTTACACACCTCATCTAATGGAGCTGTGCAAAGCCGGATACGAGACCGCGACCCTCATCGAGTCTGTCCACAGCGTCTGCTCCTAACGGACACACAACATGTTGTGTGATTCTGCCATAATAAAATGAATTGCAACTGGTTCGTATCGTGTTCTGCTAACGTTAGAAGACATGGGTTGTATTTTCACCACAATAGCGGTCAAGAAATGTTCCGATATAGACCGAAGGAATTCAGGTGAAACCACCCGGATTCTCAGATCCGGTGGGCTCATCAATACGACCCCACAAATACGACGTAATGTTGCACGATGTATGCACAGGAAGAATAATGACAGGCCGGTCGTTCAACGCAGTTAGGACAGATATCGGGTCGTCTTTCGACTCAAACCCTGCTGGAATTCCAATTTTTTTCTTGTTCAAACTAACCGGACTAGAGACGCATAGTTTAAGTTAGCCCTATCGAATTTGATTAAGTTCTCATACAGCCAGTCACAACTTCATCGGATGCTTAGTTGAAGTCATCGGGACGGTGTCAGTTTGTCTCAGAACGAGGCGGCCTTTTTGGATTCCTCTATTTTTGCAATCGCTTTCTTACGAAAAAAGCAACCTGATGTTGTATTTCTACTCATAGGTTCACTGAATACTCTTCAAAAGACAGCTACCAGGCTCTGTTTTCGAAGTTTCATTATACAGGCGTCCAATTTGGTGTTCAGTTAAAACAAGGTTAGTAGGAAATTGCAGACGAATAAATCAAAGATTAATCAAAGCCACCGAGTATATGCGGTGTGACAGTTGATTTACACGTTCCACACATGTCTACCTTTC